ACCAATCTAGCCGGTCGGCCCAAAAAGTTCTGGCAACACTGCTTATGGCAGGGAAACTTGCAAGTTCCTGCAAATTTGCGTTCGTGCAGAAATTTCCAAGTTTCTCTACTTGAGATAAAATTTGGGAGCATTTTTTCTTACTAACTGATATTTTGAGTGATAATTTTAAGTAAGTTCTCAGCAAAAAAAGTTAGTTTAAATAAGTCCATATGTGTACATATGTGATATTTTGTAATTAAGGCAGAATTGAATATGCGCTATATGGGAAGAAAATACCTGTAACATTTATTATTGGCACTATATCCAAACATAAACGCGTGTTAAGCAAACAGTGAAACAATTTGTTATTTTCTAAGCTTGCGAATCAAACTTCACACTCAAATTTAAGTCATTCAGAACAAAAATTGTATGAAGAAAATCCCCGTTACGGCCTTCTTTAGAAAAAATATATTCGTTTAAAATAAAAATAAGCGAAATCAGCCCAATTTTATATAACCCTGCTTCAGCGATAAGGTTAGTAGCCATTTCTAACAGATTTTGGATCGCTTAGTCGAAAATGGAAAAACATACATATATTTGAATTTCAAGAAAACAAGGTAAATAGCAAAATCGGCTAACAAATCGGCTTCCGGCTAAACCGAAATTTCTCCGGCTGTTTGCTATCGCAACCGGCTAAATCTAGCCGGAAAAGGACTAAAATGGCAACACTGGTGACTATTTTGCTTTATTACTCAATTGTTAAGTTTAAAAGTTGGTCTTGTTGCTCAACGAGAAATGAAATAAAGCAAATTTGTGTTATTTCACATTAAATGTTCGACAATTTTCTTTTATATGGAGAATACTGCCAGCAGAAAAAATTGCCAAAAATTAACGGCATTTTATAGCAGCTTTAAACTTGCACGTCATTATACTAGAATTAAATGGTCTACAAAACTGTATACCAAAATTCTGATTAAAAAGTTTGAAATTTTGGTGAAAATAAGCCGAATTTTTTTAATTTTTGTACAAAGTTTGAAATCTGAATTTATATGGTGTCTGTTGTATACCAGCTAGACTTCTATGAAAACATTAAATAAACAAATTACAAATGCCAAATACCAAAACGGGTCAAAATATCGCAATTGTTTTATTTTGTGGACCACTACATATATGTATGTGCATTAGGGTGGTCCAAAACAGTAAAGTCGGAATTGTAATGCCCCCTAGGATTGTTCTATATCGAAAAAAGTATACCCCTATTTTTTTATTTTGAGATCAAAACCAGGGACGTGAACCGGGTTTGAACCGAACCGGTTTTGAACCGGAAACCCCATTTTTTCTATTAATTAACTGAGCCCTTAACCGAACCGAAATTTTCCACAAATGTTTGATCCGAACCGAAAACCGAACCACTTTCCTAAAGGTTTAATGGTTCGATTCAACCAATTTTCAATACATAAATGTACCTACTTTTTCTTCTTTTTGTTAAACATGGTAATACCTACCATATTTGTTTACCATGTGACAATATCAAATGTAAAGGCAACCCATCTCATTTGACAGACACTTGACCCTTAACTTTGCGCGCTATTGCACTTGACACTTGACACTTAAACTTGCGCGTTATTTTTTTGTTTTTCGAATCGTTGAACCGAACCGAAACCCCGGTTCAAAGACCAAAAAACCGCTTTGACGAACCAATCCAAAAGTGCAAAACGGTTGGAACCGCTGAACCGAACCGACCAAATTTTTTATCTGGTTCACGTCCCTGATCAAAACATATTTCGAGGTCGCTCAAAGCGCTCAAAGGTTTCTATGTATTTTTATATAGGAAAAATAAATTTTTTCGTAGAAATGGTATAGAATTCCTGAAAGTCAATATTTTTCGATCGGAAAACTCTGGTTCTCTTCAGGAGACTTTCAATAATAATACCCAATTGTCTATTAAACCATTTTTAATACTAACGATTTTTTATTGGTCGCCCCATTGCATTTTTCGGGGTTTTTGTGGGTTTTTGGCGGTCCTATAAATTATAGTTCCAATGAAAAAATGGTTAAATTAACAATTCGGTATTATTACTGGGAATCTCTTGCAGATAAGCAGAGTTTTCTGGTAGAAAAATATTGATTTTTAACTATTCTACACCATTTCTATGAAAAGTTGTTTTTTCTCCATACAAAATACATGGAAAACTTTAGGCGCTTTGAGCGACCTCTAAATATTGGTTGGTTTCAAAATAAAAAATAAGGGTATATTTTTTCGCTATAGAACAATTTTAGGGGGTGAGAGCATAAAAATTCCGACTTTACTTTTCACATGCATTTTTGGACTTCCCTAATGTACATATATACCTAGAATATAAGTTCTTATGCATTGAGTGCAAAAGAGTATATTTTAGTACAAAACGAAATAAAATTGTATGTTCCTAAATATTTCTTGCTTAGTACCATATAAAAAGTGTTTTATGTAATGTACATAAATGTGATATATGTATGTATGTACATATATTTTTACACATATTTTGTATGTACATACATACATATGGATGTAATGTTGCATAACAAGCCAATTAACTAAATTATTTGTTTTCTTTTGTTTTGTTAACTCCGATAAATTAACTCATTTTATGAATTAATACATTTATTTGTAATTTTTTATGAAATCGGCATCGGCATCGGCCGATTCTTTCCCCATAAGCCGACTGCGGTTGCATTGCCATCCATAATCGACCTATAAAAGACAGGACAGTTGAGAAAAAATGTTTTTTTCATCGAAATTTTTTCTATGCTTCCGGCAACGTTCATAAAATTCCGTGTCGCTATGTTCGTTAACGCTAACTACAAACTGTCCATATCCGAAGCGGGAGTTTTCCAATGTTATTCGCGTCTATGCGTCATATATAGGTTTATAGTTGGGAGAAATACATAAGTAGGATAGCAACAAAATAATGTACTATTGGGGTATTCACAACGGTGCCGTAAGTGTCGTATTTTTGTATGTCGCAAACTTTAAACGCCTAAAAATATATTAGGGTGGTTCGCAAAGTACCAACAAAGTCATATTATGAATTTCTGCAGTGTTTAAAATAGTTGGATGGCGTTTCAAGTTCTCTAAACATTTATTTAAGCTTTTAAAGCTTACGACATACAACACTACGACACTTACGACACCGTTGTGAATCCCTCATATGTATTTATTCATATACATAACCATATGCACATAAACAGCAACAAAAATTTTCCGTTTGGACACTATCCAATGTTATCCATTCCCCTGGCTGATGTTTGACCAGAGATCGTTTTTTTTCAAACGTAGAGAACAATAATAACATCTTTTGTAAATTTCGATATCAACTGAAACGTAGGAAACAATATGGGTCTTCACACCGAGCTTGGTAATCGGTAACTCGCTGTCCGGAATTTTTTTCTAATGTATTTGATTTGTGTGAAATAGTGTCACACAAACAAAATACATGGGAAAAAAATACCGAACACCGAGTTACCGAGTACCAAGCTTCGGTGTGAAGACCCATATTATCTACGATGCATGTAACCTTCCTATGTATCGGTGTGTAGCAGGACAACGTCTGCCCGGGCTTACTAGTTCTCATATAAAAATTTAAAAGTACCGTTAATTTCTCTATGATCTAGTGATCGGATCTAAACCAAATTAGTTTGGGACCATCCCTGAGTTAGAAATCGATTAACGCGGTCCAAAGTTATGCGGTAACATATGTACATAAAAAAAATATTCCGACGAATTGATAGCCTCCTCCTTTTGTTGAAGTCGTTTAAAAACCCTGGTTTACAGCAAAAATGTTCAATGGATGCCACTATCTGATTCCTATAAAGAATTGCTCGCTGATTCCGAAAATCGACTTAAATTTTTATTCTATTGATAAGTTTTCAAAATATTTTCTATTTTCCGTTATTCAGTTTAAAACAAAGAGTGATTCCATCTAATCACGTATATCTTAAGGGGCACTCAAACCGACGCGGTATTGGAAGTGCGGTACAAGGCGGTACATAGTATAGTTATGTACCGCCTAGTACCGCACTTCCAATACCTCGTCTGTTTGAGTGTCCCTTAAGATATACGTGATTAGATGGAATCACTCTTTGTTTTAAACTGAATAACGGAAAACAGAAAATATTTTGAAAACTTATCAATAGAATAAAAATTTAAGTCGGTTTTCGGAATCAGCGAGCAATTCTTTATAGGAATCAGATAGTGGCATCCATTGAACATTTTTGCTGGCGCGGTATTGGAAGTGCGGTACAAGGCGGTACATAGTATAGTTATGTACCGCCTTGTACCGCACTTCCAATACCGCGTCTGTTTGAGTGTCCCTTAACGAACCAATTTAACAATCTTAATATGAAATACGGCAAATGACAGCTAACAAAATATATACATTACTTTTCGATAGGTCTGATAGTTTCTAACAAATTAATTAATCATTCCAGATTTTTGGTTTTTTTTACGAAAATATGAAAAAACGCTTAAGCAGAAGAAAAATTAAAAAAATAACAGGTTCTGTGTAAAATTTTTGCTTTTGTGCTAAAGCCTGTTCTGTTACAAAAAAATCAAGTTCCTAGTAATGATGTGTAACGCAACGCAGCGTTGCGTTATTGCGCTGATACTCAAGGTGCGTTACGTGCGCTGATACACCAAATTGCTAACTCAGTAGCGCATTAATGGGTTAGCAGCGCAATAATTCTTTGACAGCGCAATAATTATTTGACAGCGCAATGCGTTGACAGCACAACAATGCGTTGATAGTGCAATAATGCGTTGAGATCGTAACATTGCGCTGAAAGCGCAATATGCGTTGAGAGCGAAACAAACACTTTTATTGTCACAGCGCAATGAATGAGCGTTGTGACATTCTTCCCGATTCAAACAATTAAACAGTTTAAATTTTTGAGTTTTTTTATGAATATACTATTTTATTAAACAGTAAGCTTTTTAATAATGTATTTCATTCATTAAAGAAAAAACATTTTATGTGTTACAGGAACTTTACCATGACAAACTGAACATAGGTACATAACAAACATTTATTAAAAGTATCAGTCTAGATGTAATGTGCCGTCACGCTAAAGAAACTGTCTTGCGCTCGCGAAGTCCAGCTGTCAACAGTCAGACATACAGCGTGTGCTCTTTTTAACCGGCATTTTACTATTTCAAATGTTTTATAATAAATCGCAGGTATAAGTGAACTTGAAATAGTCTTCCTAGTCGGAACGCTATAATTAGGGTTAAGTAGATGAATAAGTTTCCGAAACTGGACGTCTTCGACTATACTGAATGGGTGATATTAGATAACAATCATTTTAACTAATTGTTGATCAATTTCACTCTTGTTTTTATTCAACAGTGGCCTATGAAAGTATCCCGATATGACTGTAGGTCGCGGCGTAGAAGTGGCGGTACGTGACGCAGAAGATTCAAGTGGAGGTGCAGAAGTAGCAGGTGGCGGTATAGAAGTGGCAGTATGCGTTGAAAGTTCAAGTGGCGGTGTGGAATTTGCAGGTGGCGAAATGTTGCAGGATACACGTGTAGTTGTTGCAGCAGATTGCAACTCATTGTTATTATTATCCGATTCCTCGGCTGGATGTCTTGATATTCTCTGTGTACGATGCTTTTTATTTAGGTGGCGAATTAGGCCGCACGTCGATTTGTTGGTCACAGATAAATGCTGGCCGCACAGCAAGCACTTTACTTTTTTTTGCTGTTCTTCGGAAAAATGCAACCACACATCGCTTTTCCTTCTTGAAGTCATTGCGAAAGTCCTAGAAATATACATATATATATATATATGTTAATTTTAAATTATGAAAAACATACACATAATTATAATAAACTTACAAACACTTTTTATCCACCAGGCAGACCCAAACGATTAGTAGTTAGCGCGTAACAATTAAAAATGCGTGTAAAAATTATATTCGCTGATAAAGATGCCATCTGTTTTTTTGCTTTGTTGCGATGGATGCCACTCCGTCACGTATAACGCAAATCGCGCTAGCGCATTGTGCTGATACATACTGCTGCGCTTGCGCTAACATATAAACACAGGAAAAATTGCGTCATTAACCACCCTTAGTTCTTAGCGAAGAAAATCGATGGATAAATAAAAAAGCATAAAAGCGTGCTTGTTAATTGTACATGGTGTATGAGTAACAATATTTCCTGTTGATTTCTTATACAAAAAATCTTTGCGCATTTTCATTTTACCACATTACTTCTTTATTTATCCATCGATTTGCTTCAATAATAACTTGATTTGTTTGCCGTTAGTTTTTTAATTTTTCTCCTTTTAAAATTTGATATGTATTTTTATTTTTTCATCAAAAAAAACTGGAATGATTAATTAATTTATCAGAAACTATCAGTCCTATCGGAAAGTGATGTATACATAGACGGAAAATGGAAAATTTTGTTAGCTTTCATTTGTCGTATTTCATTAGGTGCGTTCGTTTAAAATCTCCAGTAAAAAACATCCAACAGAAAAATTCCAGCGAAATGTCACCAGTTCTCTCACAAGAGAAAAATATCCAAAACAGTACGCGAACAGGAAATTTGCAGAAACTTGCAAGTTAGACGAACAGCTGATATAATTTTTCTTTACATTCAAAAGTGTGAAATTTAGAACGTACGAAAACTCATCACAAAGTGTTATACTGACACAGTTTATTGATTAAACAAATAACTACTGACTTCTTACAAGTTTAATTAGTCGCATTTTGTCATTTTTAACTTCCAAACCATCAAACTAAATTTTGTGATTTGAGTAAATTCCAACCAGCTGTTTCTGATCAGCTGTTTTCCTGTTGGCAAATTACTGTTGGCAAAAGTTTTTCCAGCAGAAACCAGCAGCTTCCCCTCAAAATTAAATGTCACTTTGCTCTCTCAATTTCCCCTATTTTGCAAGTTTTTTGCGTACGCAAAGGCAAAAACCTGAAAGTTTTAGTTAAACATGAATAATTAACGACTACGCGAATGCAACTATTTTCAGTTTGTTAAATTGGTTCATTACATGAACCAATTAGAACAGATCTGACCGGTTGAGAAGCAGCCATTTGTAAAAGCAATTGAGAAAAAAGCGTGTGACGTTCGTAATTTTGAAGTTTGCTATTTCTGTTTTGCTTCTTTCTTTATGTGTATTTTGTCGGTGGTTTATTTCAGTGATTTTTAAGCGATTTTCAGTAAGTTTTTTATGCAAATGTAATTAAAATGAAGTGCGCGGTGATTGGTTTCAAAAACACGTACAAAAATAATAAATTGGTTAGCACAAAATTGCTTGCATTTTTTTCTTTATGCTTCGTCTTCATATTCTTTGTTTACTTTTCAAAGAAAATAACACGGCGCCGAAATTACAAACGTCAGCCAGAAAATTACTTTTTTCTTTTGCATCATGTTGTCAGATCTTGTGAAGTTGGATCATGGGTTCATGAGATATAAGTAGGGTTGCCAGATTCTGAAACGGAGAAAGGAGTACATTTATATTTTCGATAGAAAAAAAGCAGTACAAACATAAAAAAGGGAGTAAAATTTTGTTTTTTAATTTTTTGTGCAACTTATTGTTACACAATACCAAAAATTAAATACTTATCGACCCCTTTACGCAAATTATCGTATGTTACATTTTTTACGAAATTCACTTTTTGATGCAAGTTTGTTTTACAACGCATAACGCATCACTTGTTCAAATATTACGATTTAAGACCCAATAACTACCCCAAAAATTTACTGTAAAATTTGTCGTATCTGACAATGAAGTTTTCCGTGTGGGCGAAATTATCAATGTGCTAAGAAATTAGAACGTAGACTTTTCTTCAAAAAAATCTTGCGTTTATTTATATTTCTGAATTATCTCAGCAAATCTGAACTTTGGTATTGCTAGCCAAAGCAGAGAAAAATACAAAAAACACTTTTCTGTTTGGTTTGGTTTTATACCCGAGCGCACTTGTGCACAAGGGTATTATAACTTTGTTCACATAACGGTTGTTTGTCACAGGCAAAACGAATCGAGATGGATATAGACAAATGTATACATAAATGATCAGAATGAAAAGATAAATCGATTAAGGGGTGACTGTCTGACCGTCCGTCCGTCTGTCCGTCCCCCTGTGCACACGATAACTCGAGTAAAAATTTAGATATCTTAACGAAACTCTGTACGTGCACTTCTTTCGGGCGTAGGACGGATGGTATTGAAAATGGGCGAAATCGGACTGTAAACACGCCCACTTCCCATATAACGGTTATTTTCAGAAATACGAAAACTGCGATATTTTTGTAACTACTAAAGATTATTCACTCAAAATTGATATTTACAATAAATTTTAGACGAAAGATAAGAATATTATAAATTTTTGGAAAATGGGCGTAGCCACGCCCACTTATGGTCACATGTGTATATCTTGGTAACCGCTGCATCAATTTCTTCCAAACTTGGCACAGTTATTGGCCTTGGTACATCATACCAAGTGGCCGAAAATTTCGGAGAATAACCACGCCCACATCCCATATAACGGTAATTTAGAGAAATACAAAATCTTCGATAAATCAGTAAATATTAAAGCTAATTTATTCAAAACTGATGCTTGTAACAACTTTTTACCAAGAAACACGTTTATGATAAAATTTTGGAAATTCTTCCTTTCTACCAAACTCGGTGTGGTTACTGTGCTTGCCACATAAAAGTAAAACGTTGAAAATTATTGAAATCGGATTAAAATTGAGGCCGCTTTTCATATAACGGTAAATTTCAGAAATGCTTGAAACTTCAGTATTTCGAAATTTAAGGACGCTAATTTACTTAAAATTGTAGCGGTAGCTTTCGGAAAGGTGAAAATCATATATTTAATACTTGCGCCGGGAATTTAATGTTCGGCTCCGCCCGAACTTAGACTTTCTTACTTGTTGTAACATAATTTTGCGCAAAGGGGTCGATATATGTATAACTACATATGTGAGATCGCTTTCATTAATTAGGTACAAACAAACAAAGATATCTTAGATATATTTTTCAAAGCAACAATAAATGTTAAAAATAAATAACTAAATTCCACAAAAGAACTCCAGACTTTTCCAGAATGTATGGCCATTTTTTAAGCTTTATTATTATTTTATTATTTTTCTGATTTGTATACCCGAGTGCCCTGCACCTACCTGGCTACGACCATGCTTACACCTTTTTACTATCACACTTAACTTAGTTTACTAACACGATCCAGAAAATAAAGGCCGCGCCATTCGCGGACCGCTAACCCTCTCTTCGTCGGTTTGACAGCATCCATCCAATCGCTGACGTCATACAATACTTTTGTTTACATTCACTGTTGCCAACTTGATGCTTTTCGCACCAAATTTAGTATACAGAACGCGAAAACTTTTGAGTTTGGTGCTTGGTACGTTTTTTGTGCTTTTGTTTTTAGTTTGAAGACACCATTCTATCATTCTTGGTTTACTAAGTAGTGTTCGCCACAATTTGAATGGCAGAGTACAGGGCGTAAAATAATAACTGTCGCACAGGTTTTTTTTAAAAATGATATAGATTTTGCGAAAAAAGTATTTTATTATTAACTGTAAAACTTGTAAATACTTTACTTTAATTTTATTAATTAGTTTTAAAATTTTAATCCTTATTTGCATTTTCCACCCTTGGGAGATAAGTGCATGTCTTTTTTAGATGTATTTTTTCTTAGACTATATAAAAAAAAATAATGCTATAAACTGTACCTATAGGGTTGGTCGAATGAATGGCCTCCTAGTTACCAGTTCCGAATAGGCACGTCGAGAAAGAAACCCTACATGGAAAACTATCAATTGATAATCAGCCTCATTGCGTAAGTCGTAAATTAGGCTAAACTGTACGACTCGACAACATTGGCATTGTCTACTGTCGTGCTGAAATAAATAAACGGCAAAAATCGTCGAAAACTATGCAATTCTGCCAAGTTTTTCCGTCTTAATACACTAGTCTAGTCGAAATTTTAGGCAATGACATGAAATTTTCGATACGTTTCGGCTCTCGAAAAACGACTGGGTCTGTCCATAGGGACAGGGGCGTTGGTAGGGTGGGATTCTGAGGGCATACGAAGAGGTGCTGTGAGTCATGGGGCGACTCTCCGCATGCCGGGCATTCGTTTAGAACATCCTCGTTTAATCTCCTCAGGTATGAGTTCAACCTGCTGCAGTAACCCGAGCGCAGTTGGGCTATTGTTACGCTGCCAGACGTACTGATTTTATCAGTACAGTACTTTTTTTCATCTCACACAAGGTCTGTCGATAAGCTGTCGGGTTCAGAGGTTGTTTGATAAACTTCTGGACTTCGTCCGTCAGTTCGTAGAGATGCCTCCTGACGTGCCTGGGTGAAGGCTCTTCTGCAAGGAGTTGATTGTTGGGGTGACCACGTCTGTCGCTCCAAACTAAAAACTGCTTGCAGAGAATTTTGGTATGCTCCTTGTGTGCCCGGAACAGCATTCACATATCGAAAGTCTACATAACTCGAGACTGCCTCTCTGTGAATGCCGTTCAAGGCCTGTCCATAAGCTGTCGGGTCCAGAGGTTGTTTGATAAACCTCTGGACTTCGCCCGTCAGTTCGTAGAGATGCCTCCTGACGTGCCTGGGCGAAGGCTCTTCTGCAGGGAGTTGTCTGTTTGGGTGACCACGTCTGTCGCTCCCAACTAAAAACTGCTTGCAGAGCATTGTGTTATGCTCCTTAACGGGGAGTATGTGGGCCTCGTCGTGCAGGTGGTGTTGCGGCGACAGCAAAAGGCATCCTGTCGCTGTACGAGGTGCCGTGTTTTGGCAAGTCTGTAGCTTCAGCCACTGCGTCCTACTAGTCCCCGGTGACCACACGGGCGCTGCATAGTTCAGAACCGGCCGGCCAATTGCCTTGTACCTTGCCAGCTACGTTTCTTTGTCTTGTAAAGAATCTTTATTGTAGGATCTTGCCGTTGTACAGGAGCAATAACTTTTGTAACACGTTGTTATAATTTGAAGATTAATTTTTTTAATAATCAAAAAGAAATTTTTTGAAAAGATACAAACACGATATTTCATTTTACAATCCAAAAATAAAAGAACAACGAGTATTTTAACAACAAAGTTTCAAGTGCACTACAATTACTCCCCTTCTCCAAAAAGATTCATATTTAACAAATTAAAAGTAACTCGTTTATGTTTGTTGGATGAAACAAATTTTTGGTTCTCCAGAAATGCAGGCTTAATTCGGTTTATCAATACAGTTTGTAATTTGTTGTGATAATTGATTTGA